CGTTATGGATTTAAATTACTTGTTTTTTATGCCTCATAAATAAGACCATGAAGCCCAGGTGGTCTAAAGAATCATTACTACAGGCTGTCAGTATATGCATATACACTAGAGCAGTGGCTCTGAACTTGGGGTACATGTACCCCCAGGGGGTACGTGAGATATATTTCATACATTGTCTAACACAGGTCGAAGGGCATAAAAATTAATTTCCCATTGAAAGGGGGTGCGAGAAGTCTCACTCTGAGACCAGAGGGTATGTCGACTGAAAAAGGTTCAGAACCGCTGCACTAGAGGATCCATAAATGCATGTACAAGAGCTATGCCATAACCAGCTCTGCGAAGATATGCTGTGTTTTCAAACTCAAGGGGTCTTAGGAATGCAAGTAGCAACAATATTAAATCAAGAATATCAATGAGTAATTCTGTATATGGTTAAGCTTTTCTAGTTTTTAACTGTCAAGAAGCTCTAGAGAGGAAGATGACAGGTGCCCCGCAATGAAATACAGAGGAGTGCTGTCCAAGGGGAACATCATTCAGACTGCTTATTGTTTTTTGAACAGGCTTTTTTTTGTTTCACTGCAGCGACACAATACCACTGTGAAGTGGTGCTTCACTTAATTAAGTCAAAACTGAGACTAGCATGCATATTAATGAGCACCCTAATGAGCATTAATTTTTGATGTTCTTCGTTAACGAGCATTATAAACTATGACAAATTTCTGTTTGACTGAATGCCAAAATGTGGATGAGTGGTTGTTTAAAATTGGAAATCTGAATGCTTCCCCTGGGATTAGAATGCCATGCATAAATAGCCTTGGCGTTTGCAACGTCAAACAGGAAAATAAATGCCATGACAGGCTACCCGTCACTGCCCTTTTACACATGCCTAGCGGAGAAAACACTCACATCTTGTAAATAAATGGAGCTGATCATTTAATCTGAAAATTTAGCTAAAGGAAATACTCAGCCCTCAAACAGCACAAGAAGATCCCTCTGTTTCCACTGACAGTGAGAGACTTGGTTGAGTGTCACATTTTGCTCAGGACCTCATATTTCAATTTTTTTTTCTGCTGACATACTGCATTTTGTTGCAATAATAATAATCATAGGCATTTTGCCCAGGAATATTTTTTTCCAGGTGCAGCAAATGTTAAGAGTGCAAAGAGAGATAAATGCTGTGTCACTTCAACTGGAGTGAAGCTCATCTCATAGCTAAGACACAGAGGTGGTAGTTTGGAGATCTAGGCTCTGTCCGAAGATTTTGCCATGGACCCGCTGTCTGATCTTAGTTTTCTCATCTGCAAAATGGAGATAATAATAGTTGGCTCACAGGGGAGCAGAACTGCTTCAGTCATTAAGGAGAATCTTCAGGTGCCATGGAAGTGAAATGCATTTGTGTTACAAATTAATGTGATGTGCCAGCATTTACAGGGACCATTTACAGTGACGGCAGTTTAACACCTTGACATTTTTCATGCCTGGCTGTTCTTCAGACTGTAGTACCCTCTTGATTCCTGAATGTTTTAAACTGACAATGATGTACCCATCATCTCATGTGTCTATTTAGTGCGTGCAAATACCTGGACTGCATGTACAAATCTTGGAGGTGCAGAATTTGCTCCTTTAATAGTTGCATTTGCATGTACACATTAGATTCATCTTAAAAGAAGGAGACCTATTTAAAAATCTGGCCCACATAATGAACTAGCCATGGTCTACATGACAATGATCTGCTGGAGGAGCAACATTGATTGAGGACATGAAATGATCTCATTCTTTAGCCAACATAGTTTTGCTGGCAAACCTGCCTCCCTAGGACACAACCTAGCGGGTTTCTTCTGCCAGGAGAACATCTCCCATTTGAGCTCTCTCTGGGATAGATCTGGCTGCCAAAGAGCTCCTGTTGGCAGAGCTGTTTGTTCACACTAGAGGCATGGCCACCATAGCACTGCTGCCAGAGTTAGGGAACAACCGCTGTCATAGGGCACATCCAGACGAGCTCACATGTGCAGTATGCGGTGTGGCAGACCTGTTTTCAGTACCGTACACAGCATGCACTGCACATGCAGGCATTCCCCATGCTGCTAATTTGCAATGCTGGGAGGGAGAGGATGGTGGTACATGTGGTAGTAGCATGCGCCACCCAAAACCAGAGCCTGGCCAGCCAAAGCCATGCTCTGTCTGCTGGTCAGCATCCCTGCTGCAGGATCACAGCAGCTGCAGCCCCCAGGACTCCAGGTAAGGCTGCTGGAGCCAACCCAGGCTCCCCTATCCCACCCAGGACAATGTGCCACGCACCAAAATTCACAGGCGTTCCCCAGGGACAAGTAGGAGTGGCACATATTGCACGTTCCTGCTCATGGGGATGCACCCATAGTGTAGACAACCATAGAGATCTGTGGAGTAACCCATGGTTCTGTCGAATCCATGCAAGGGACACCTGTGTCGTCATCTACACAGAGTTTCCTGGTGCCACCTAACACAAGCAATGAACTGTGTAGCTTACCACAGAGCAAACCCTCAAAAACATGCCTCTCTGTCTTTGCTCCATGGTTGCCCTTCGTTCATTTAGAGAGAGCCCAAGTAACTAGACTTCAAAGAAACTAAATGAGTTTTAAACACTTTCACTTTGATTTTGAGCCTTATCACCATCAGGTTAAAGGATGATTAAACATTACCCAGTAACTGAAACTATTGTCACTTTCCAGGCCTCCCTGGTTCAGAGTTACAAACAGCAGTGAGTTTGTGCCTAAGTATAAAGCATACGCCAAGGAAGGGGAAGGAGAGGGCAGTAATCAGAAAAAAACAGCTAAAGGAGGGCATCTGCTTCAATGAGTTTCCTGCAATTACTCCTAGCCGGCCACCCATGCTTTCAAAAGGCCATTTTTGAGTAAACAAAACCATTTGATCCAACTAAATCAAAACTCCTCTTCAAAGCAGGATTTGTCACATGGGTACTAAAGCATTAAGGTTGCAGTTACCATTATGCAGGTCAATATGCATCACATTCAACAGGTGGCTCATTGAAGGGGTGATACAACCAGGTTTTAAGTAACAGCTAACATACACGTATACATATACCTATGGAACAAAACATGCAAACTGGACAGGCACCTCTTATAGACAGATAAATTGATGACAGTTATGGGGTATTGTGTTGTAAGAGGAAAAGTATATAGAAAGTCTTTATGAGACTCTGATGTGTGATCTCTTGGGACAATTCTATTGAACCCTGTTACCCAAAATATCTCCTTGTCCACCCCATAATATGCAGCCAACAAAATATCCCTGTTTCCTGTTCTGCATTATCCTCACTACTATTTGACACACACTACACCAGCCACTGCCTATTTGATTAATTTAATTAATATTCTTCTAGCTGTACTTACTCAACTGGATTTTTTCCTTTACTGCTGTCGCTGCTGCTTATAAATTAGAAGATGGAGTTGGAAGGAAAAAAAATACCGTTGTCATCTTCATGTGGCAGGCAGTCCTGAATTCCAGTGACACTTAAAATAAGAGAAATATTTCTGACACTCACACTGATCCAACTTGCCTGTTTTCTACCTGCTGAGCAGCTTGCTGTCTTGCTCCTCCAGCTGTGGAGGTGAAAGCTGTGATGGCCTTTCCAAGTAATCCATCTGAAATTTTCTTCTCCATTTTTAGTGTACTTTCTGTTGGTCTGTGTTTCATTTTCACTTTGATATTATTCCAAATAATCAAAGTAAGGAAGCGACTGTTATACATGTCTTTCAGAACCGCCTTCAAATTAGGGCAATTTCAGGATCCAACAGGACAATTCAAAAGCTCTCCCATTAATATTTATATAGTACAATCACAGGATGAACATGAAAAGCAGGCTAACATACAGCCATTGCCAGTCTGTAGTTAGTATTATCACTCTTATTCTGCTGTCACAGTGAATAATCACCAATGACAGGATTTTCTAAATTGTGTTTTATTAGGCCATTGTGGGATTTTGAGTATTTTTTTTTCTCTTTAGAGTAATAAAAGCTTTGGCACAAACCTAGGGACAACATAAATTAAATGATTAAATGAGAAACCAATAAATCTTAAGATAAGAGTGATCAAATGGCTACAGTGAATGACGTGACTTCAATTCCAGCACTTCCCTTGAAAACTGTGATAAATAATGAACAATCTTGTCCTAAACCTAGGAAGGCTGTTTAAATTATCCTCCTTGCTCACCTTGGAATTAGTCCATCGAAGACATTTAGAGGGATGGGAAAAGTTAGGAATCATGTCAATCTTCTGATGTTGGAACTGGTCTAGAAACAAATCTTTGCATAAATTGAAAAATGGTAAATGAGAGATTTTCCCCCATTCCTGCATGCGTCTTTCTTCCAAAAGTGGGCAGAGCCATGTCAGCTTTGGAAAATCCACAGTGTGGTTTTTTAGGCAGTATGTAATGGATTAACAAGAGGTGCTCTCTTTTCCATATGGGAAGAAGCGTGTTCCATATCATGGACCAGTAGTCAGATGACTGCTGCTGCATCTATGTGATCATCAGGGATCCTACTGGAAAACTGCAGCAAAAATAAAAGAGAGCTGAAATGGCACTGCTGCTCACCACAGGATGCCACCGTGCTTTTAGTAGGTCATGGAAAAAACACAGATTCCACAGTTTTCCATGGCAAATGAAAAATTAGGACCCCTGGTGATCAGCACTAAACTAAGCAAGCTCAAACACAGGCGAGGAAAGTGCCAGCTAGGGCTGTGCAAAGCTTCCGGTGCTTATTCGATTTGAAGGAGATTCGGCCCCATTTGGCAACCAAATTTCCAAATCTGAATCGAATCAGGAGACCAGTAAAAAGGTCCGAATCTATTTGAAGCTCTCCGAATTGATTTGGAAAAGATTCGGAGAGCTTTGGAGATTGGGGCAGTCTCCGCTCATTGCCGCAGGGAGCTGGACCTGGGCTCCATGCTGGTAAGTAGGGGGCGGGGGAAGCAGGGGGGAGGGGACCATAGGGGGCCCCAACCTGCTCCCCCAGCCCCTCCGAATGCCCCCCGACCCCTGCCCGCTGTCCCAGGCCCCCCCATGGCTGCCCCACCTGGCCCCAGATCCCGGTTCTTTAAAAAAGCATTTTTTTTAAGCCCCCACTCACTAGTTGCTGCAACAGCCTCAGGGCCTCTGGGGGCTCATGGCAGAGCTCCCCACACAGCATGGGGCAGTGGGGGGCAGGAGGGATCGCCTCTTGCCTGGGAGGAGCCAGTGGGTGTGGGGATTTGTTTTCTGAAGGAGTTTTTAAGGGCGGGGAGCTGGGGCCAGGCAGGGCAGCCATTGACAGGGCTGGGAGAGCAGGTGGGGGATGGATGAGCAGCAGCCAAATCTCCGATTCCGATTTGGCTGAATCGATTCGGGACACTGATTCGAATCACCAAATCAAATCGCTGTCCCCTGAATCGGCCTTATCTGAATCCCAAGCGAATACCAGCTGCTTCGCACAGGCCTAGTGCCAGCCAGAGGGATTTTGTGGAGGAGGAAGGAGATTGCTGGAATAAGGGATATCTCCCAAGACGAACCTCACTGAGAGCTATTACATTCCTAAAGTGAACTCTAGATGTGCCGATACATCACAAAGGAGTCATCTTGGTACTTCTAAATGGGAAATGCCAAAACCTTTCAGGCTGTTCTCATGAGGCTTCCTTCTCTACAAGTGCAATCAGGCTGTTCGAACAGGCAAATAAGCTCCAGTTAACACACCACGTTTTTGAAGGCTCGTCTAAGCCAACCTCCCAATGTTCAGCAGCAAACCTGTCCCAAACTTTTCAGAATACTGCATGAGATGACAGCCTTTGGAGGAGGAGAGGTAGCTAAAGCAGACCAGCTATTAGGGCTGACTGAGGACCAACAGTGAGGAATAAGCAGCCAAAACAGATAAAGACTATCTCAAAATTTCTTCACGGCATATACCTGGAACAACATGGACCAGGGATAGCCTTTGAGAGCTCAGGTACAGGCACTGGATTAAAGAGCAGCTGCAGCAATGTTGAGCAAGTTGCTGATAATGAGGCAACTAAGTAACCTTTGCTACTGAGAAGAGCCAAGCATCAGAACTAAGTTGGTGCAAGACATTGTAGAGGGCAGCACATAAAGAAGCTGGCTTAGCTGCCAGGCAGTGCAGAGGCTGGAGGGAGCGGCTGACCACACAGCTGGGAGCCTGCTCATAGCGAGATATGTTGAGGAGCGGCTAAGGAAAAACTCTTGTGATGGACTCTGAGAAACACAGATCAGGTAACCAGAAGGGGGAGGAATTAGTAAGAGAGAGAGAGAGATAGTGTAATTTGTATCCAAGGCCAAATTAGCCCAAATTAATTCCAAATCCAAGAGTCCAGAACCGTAAGTGGCTGTACTACCAGCAAACATCTTCCACCCACACCTGGGGCTTCAGATGTTTCCAAAACTTTTGGTGGGCGTCCTACTTCCAGGGCCAAACCCAGAGGCTTGGGGTTCAGATGCCCCCGAGTTTTGCTTGCCTTTAGCCATACGGCCCTCAGAGCAAGCAAGGGAAGAGACTCCCATTTCCATAAACTGGGCTAAAAGCTGCTGCACCTTGGCGGGTAATGAACCACACCAGAAGAGCAGTTCTCCTGCAAAGTGGTTCAGGAAAACTGCCTTCTTGGACACAGATACGTGGTATTTTCTCTGCCAGGTTAAGAAGCCACTATGCTTGATCTGAGCCTGCAAGAGGCCAAGGAGTGATTTAGGAATTAGTAAGTATATATGCTTGGCTCCAGACCATGGTCCTGAGTGCTATGGGGAGAACAGTTCCCAGGAGACCTGGGTGAACTAATGATCCACAGAGGGAAATGATACCCAAGAGAGCTGGTAGGAGCTTGCTGGGAGGGATGGGAAAGGATCCTCTCTATGGTGAGGATAGCCAGGTAGGTTAGTTATTTAGTTAGATATCTATATTGACTGTTGTACATGTGTGAAGCTTGGGAGTAGCTAAAGGAAAGGAAGGAGGCAATGGAGGAGACTGGAGTAGCCCCTGCGTTTTGAATTATGGGCCTTGTAGCTGGTGCACTGCACTGAGATAGGACCTGGGGTCCTGGAGCTGAGAGATAAAAGACACACAGAGGGCTGGTTGAGGTCAAGTGGAGGGAGAGCCACCATACTCAGGGGGCAGAGTCAGAAGATCAGGCCAGATGGAGGCTGTCCAGTGATGAGCTGGTTAGACTGAGGCACATAAAGCCGCATCCCGGTCTTTGAAAGAGCCTTACTAATTTATATTAAAATTCCAATGAGGTGTGGCAGGTGGGACCAGGAGGGCACTCAGGTGAGACTGGATGAGTCAACGGGGTACGATTAGTTGGGTTGCCAGTGGGTGCTACAGCCACCCTCTGAGTCAGATCCTGTTACAGTTGCATGTGTGTGCAAGTGCACACGCATACATGTGTGTGTATAGATCAAACTGGCCTTCTGTATTTCCAGGTAAAGGTTCAACAATGCATTCTGTAATCCAGACCTTTTCCTGTTGCAACCCACGAGCATCTTGCCCGAGCAAGGAGTCTGAGATCAAAACCAGAATCAGACTTCAGTCTGCCGCCCAGCCGCTTAGATCCACACTTATCTGAAACATCAAAGGCCTGCTCTCGCTGAAGTCACTGGAAGAGCACAAATACACTGTAATGAATATTACACAGACCAGCTCAATAGATAAATGATTCTGCTATTTAATGTAGCTCTTGGAATGATTACTAAAAGTGGAAGCCTGAATTTAATACCCCCTTATTCACTTATAAATGCTGTAGTGAAATTTAGCTTAATGTTGGCTGGATTTTGTGAGCTAAAGTGCTAAACTCCATTAATTTTCTGCTGATAAAATGTTATTTTAAATCATTGTATGATATATTTTTTCTTCTTCCCTAGGTTTTTCTGAATTCCTTTCTTTCCTTCCTACCCTGTAGCTGCATTACAGATAGCACATAATTATAGTTGAAGAATTAAATTCTAGAATATTTTCATTACTAATATCTAAGGGGGCAATACAGGTGGTCCAAATTTCCAAGCTAGGTTTTGTGAAGAAAAGTAGTAATATAAACTAGTTTTAGCAGAAATGTACTCACTTTTCCAATTTTTTTTTAATTATATTTGAGTATTCTGCTTCACTGCATACAACGCAAACAATGAAACGGTGTGCTCCTACGTGAGACCTTGATGTTGTAACCAGGAACTGAGACAAACCTGATTAGTTGAGGTCTATTGATCAGGCTGAGTGACAAGCAAAAAATTAGGCTGGCTGCTTAAATTTAGAAACGTTTGTCTTTCATATGATCAATCCCGTGGAAGATACCATAAGGCAAAACACCTTTACGCTAAGGCAGCAGAACAGGTGACCCAAAGACTGAAGGAGATAGTGGAGATGATACAGAAGGTACAGGACATATATTATCCCTGAGTGAGTACCCTTGAACATATGCTTCTTGTGTATGAAGCTTACATTAAAAGCTTGTGTCAGCTTATCACCTGATAGAGCATATGGCAGGGAAGATGCAAGGACTAGAGATGAAGCAGGAAATGATAATGGAGTTCAGAGAGGGATTCAAAGGTATGATGAAGAAGAGGAGCCTACACGGACATGTCTCAGACACCTGCCAAATATTAGGAATAAACAGAGAGTCTACAAGGAATGAAAAAGGCACTGATAGTCACACAAAAAAAAAGCATTAGCAGTCAGAGAGAACAGAGATCAAGCGAGAGCTGCCAGACATAAAGCTGAGATAGACCTTGTAAAGGAAACTTAAACAGCAAACAGTTCTTCACCAAAAGAGAAAAAGGAAAGAAGAGATTGTGTTAGGGATGAGGGTTGAGATTAAAGACAAGTCTCAGGTGTGACCCAAAACTAAAATGCTTTGCCTCAGAACAACAAGGATATGAAACCTAGGGCAAAGACAGGGTAGCCAATAGGAAAGAGTATGGAAATAGGAATTAACACATCCAAGATGGAAGCGAAGTTCAAAATAGCCAAATCCTATCTGAGAAACAAGGGGTTTTTGGTTATATATTTTAATGGACCAACTACAACGTTGGGAGAGGTGCTACATCACCAGTACAAACCTTGCTGCTTTAATATTTCCTAGACCACTGCAGCTACAACAGCACTCCAAGCCTTTCACAGATTACCTTTTAGGCACCAAAGTGGACTGGCTACTACAATCCTACTCCATCCTCCTCAAGTCCCTAGAAGGAAGTGGATCCCACTCCTCACTGCTTTTCACTCTCCTCCTCACTGCTTTGTATGATTTAAAGGCTATGCCAGTGGATATAGCTATGTTTTATTACATGCTGACACTGGGAAGACTAGGTAATCTCGACTCGAGAATACTGAAAGGATTGACGCGTGAAATCACAGATCCTGTAGTTAGGGTAAATCAGGTTTACAACTTGGTACTGTATGGTACTAATGACTGGAGAACAGAGGATGTAATACATGTATTTAGAAGTGGAGAGGAAGGAGCGAAAGGGAATGGACCAGCAACAACAGTCCCATACAGTCTGTCCCCAAAAGTATTCAAGACTTCAGAACAAGTTTTAAAAGAAGAAAGAATTAAATATTTGGAGAGAAAGGGAAAGAGAGAGAAAATACATGGGCTCTAAACAAGGGAAATGTGGTAGATTCATTCTTGCTGGATTCCAGTAAAGAATTTGGTATGATTATTAGTTAGGATAGAGAAAATGGGAATTAGGATAAGAATGATCAGATGGATAAAGAACTGGCTTAAGAAAAGATGAAAACATGTGCTGAAAGGAGAATTATTGGGTAGAAGGGGAATTACAAGTGAAGATCCTCAAGAGTACATCTTGGGATTAATCTAATGTGTGAATGAAATCTGCTGATGAGAGAGTGGGGAAGCCATGTAAATAGAGAGGAGGGTGGGATTCTGTGCAGAACTGAGTGGCCTTGAAAAGTGGAGTAATAGAAACAGAATGGGATTAAATAGTAGAAAAGATAAGCTTATGCATTAAGGGATTAATAAATATTTCTGCTATAAACTTGGAGCTCACCAGTTGAGAATGACTGCGTTAGAGAAAGACCTGAGTGTATTAGTCTTTCACAGATCCCTGCCAGTATGATACAAGTAGTGTAACAGGAAAATACAGTCCTAAAATTTATTAGCCAAAATACTGCCAATAGAGATAGAGTTCATAGATTTTATAGATTTCATAGACATTAGGGCTGGAAAGGGCCTCAGAAAGAATCAGTGTCATGGCATGAAGCACCAGCAAGACCTGATTTGGTATGTGAGCAATTCTGGTCGCCCAGAAAAACTGAATTCAGACTGAACCAGGTGCAGGGAAGGGCTACTGGGATGATCAGAGGAATGGAAAGCTGATCTTGTGAGAGAAAAGCTCAAACAGCTTGGTTTGTGTAGTCTAGCAAAATGAAGGCTAAGACGGGATATGATTGCTTTCTATAAATACATCGGGGGTAAACACCAGGGAGGGTGAAGAGCTATTAAAACTCAACAACAATGTTGGCACAAGAACAAATGAGTATGAACTGACCATGAATAATTTAGGATGGAAATTAGACAAGAAGGTTTCTAACAAGAAAAGCAGTGAGGTTCTGGGACAGCCTTCCAGTAGAAGCAGGGGGACAAAAAAAAACCCAGATCTACTTTTAAGAAGCATCCAGACGAATTTATAAGCAGGATTATATGACACAGTCACCTGACACAGCAGGAGACAGGACTCTAGGATCCAGGAGGTTCCTTCCAGTCTCACATCCTACGCTGCAGTGGCAAAAAACTTCACCTTGACTCTGAGAGGAGGTTGGAATTAGGACCCAAGGGAACTCATCATATTTTTAATATTAAAGACATTGTTTTGACACAATTTCAATTGACTGCAACAAATCAAAGCCAGCTCTGCAATAAATGTCGTTGTAATGCACTGTGCTGGAGCCATACTCTGAAAGTCCAAAATCAATAAAAACAAAATGGTGACATATGTTTGTATTATTTGTAAACTAAATGCATGCAAGAAGGTCTGTCACTGCAGGATTAATAGACTACAAGATGTTCTGTTTGTTGGGCATCTGATTGTCTGTCTTGTAATATGAATTTTGAAATAGCTGGGGATTTCTGCTAGTCTACTTGCTGGTTTGTGCTGAATTTCACATTAACAATAAATCACCCTGTATGTACAGTTTTCTTTTTCAATTTGTTGCAACATAACTTCATCAGTTCATGTAGGGAATAGGGCCACATGCATAATGAGTAGAAATTGGATAATAAAATATTAGTAAGGCATAAGAAACTAAAACATTTGAAATTTTAATACCAAGACCCTGAAATACTCCTTATTGCCAGTCAACTTAACTTACCCTGAGGGGCATATACCTTTTTGCCCCCCAAATGTGTGGGAGACAGGAGAGAAGGAGTGCAAGTCACTTAACTATGCTGCCTAGAGGGGAGAAAAACCCCATCCTGTTGAAATGCACAAGTCCATTTAGAGGCTGTGTGAAATAAAGACACATTTCATTACAGCCTCAAATCAGCATTATTACTCCAGCCGGTCAGATTACGCCTGGCAAACCAGCTATTAACCAAGTTTGGAATATTTTTCTATTCCTGAGTCTTTCAAAAATTGAATTTAAAAAGCAACATTTCAGGCCTGATTCCCAGCCCTCTTCTGGCCGTGCCAGTGCCACTAGCAGGGATTTCCTTGGCCGGGAGTTGTCTCCCCAAGTGACAGACAGATGATACCCATTCATTTCAGTACACTGTCACTAGCCCACCTACAGCTTACCCCAGGAGCCCCACATTTCTCTCCACTGTTTGCCCCAAGGAACAGACCAAGGTTTGCCCTGAGATAACTGCTTATCCCCACAAGCCCCGGCTCCATTGCCGTTATACTAGAGCTCACAGCTGCAGCAAGGGAGTCTCTGCCAGCTCCCCGAGGTTGTGAAGGACATGTTAGCCCCCCGCTTTCCACAGAATGAGTTAGCCTGGAATACCACTCTCCCGGAGATCACTCAGTAGGGATACAAAAGGGTTTATTACACAGAAGAAAAGAATTATACATGAAAAACTGATTGTAAAGTTTAAAGACAGAACAAAGAGACAAGTAAATTGTCTTACCCTCCCGCCTAGTCCTTCAGAGACACCTGCCAGCATTTTTAGACATCTGATCCTGCCAGCCCTGACTGCTGGGCACCTCAAGCAGGGATAATTCAAAGACCCTGGCCATCTTACAGATAGCCTCGAAAACACCCGCAAGCCAACCCATCCCCTCTTTCCCCACAAATTCCTCAGAATCCTTTAGAAAATTATTATCTGGTAGGGGCAGTTGGAGGTCCTTTTGCTTATGGGCTTTTGCTATTGAGGGATTAATTTTCCCATTACAAGCGGCAATGCCTTAGGTGTCCATCCCAATAATAATTCCTTCTGTCGCTGATTGGGGCTGGCAACTGTCCTTGCCCTAAAACTTAACGACAAGAGATACTTAGCAGTTTTGCCTACTACCTTTTCCTTAAGTACGAGTCCTCAGTTGCTTGGACTAAACCCTGTCCAAAAGCATAAGGATACACACAGACAGTATAACAATCTATACAGTGGGGAAAGCAGCATAAATAAAAACAGCATAACAGTGGATTTTCAATGAGACCATGCATACCATGTCAGTGCAAGAAACACAAGAAAATCTACATGACACCCCACAAACCCCCACCGACGCTTGGTGATTATTTAAACATCTGAAAGCCCATCCCTGGACAACAATGCACTTAAATCGAACCATGGTTGAAGTCCCATTGACATCACCAAGAATTCTGTATATACCCATGTGCTTTGCCTAGATCTTTGTCTCTCTCCTCTTAGTACCTCCCAAGAGTTTCATCGCCTGAGGCACCTGGGGTCAGCCCAGTTTTGAAGGCATGTTTCTAAACATATCTAAAGAAAGAGACTTAAAACCCAGAAGCAAACTTTTTTCAAGATCAAAAGCTTTTTGATATTCTACAAAAGGCAGCTCTCCTCTCCTGTTGTGTCATGCAAATAGGCCCATGAATTGAATAATTCTCCTCAGCTAAGCGGGATCATATTTACTTAGCTTATGTGAACAGACAAAGGAAAATATACCACTTGCTCAATGTGTGCAAAATTTATGGTATGTAGCTAACATAATGTGTTTAACAATTTTAGCTGAATTTCAATCTAGGACAAAACAAATATGCTCTCTTAATCCCAAGACATATTATAGCAGTTGCATGTAGGGTGATTTAAAGTTTCAATTCATCATTAAGAACACTGTACACATACAGGTTTTTCTTTTCAAACAATAGTATGCAAAACTTCCAAAGTCATTAAAACTTAATTAGCCATTTAAACAAGAGGAATCTTTGCAAAGTTCAATTTGATGCATATGAGCTCCAAGTTGTGGAGAGCCACTGTCCATTATTTAAACAGAGGTTTTTGACAATTGGGCCAAACATTTTCTGTGATGACTTCTATTTTGAAGGTCTTTCTCTAAACCCTTCCTCGCAAACAGAAAGTATACAATTGTGCTCCAAATTTACCTTCCCTTATGGGAAATGCGCACTGCTCTTTTCTGTGTATTCAGGACTCCCTGAGTACCAGGGATCCAGGTTTTCTCTGATGAAAAAAAACAAAACAAACCCAATTTTTGGATTTAAAAAAGTAACCCCAAATCCACAGTTTTGCATGATTAAAATGAAACACTGCTATATCTATATCTAGTGCTGTTTCATTTTAGTCACAGAAAAAAGTCCCCAATTTTCAGTGTGAAAAGGCGGCACACTTGGGGCTGGGTCTCATGCTGGCCCACCCACCTGTCTCCATGAGGCAGTCCGCCCAGTCTCACCTGCCATGACTTTGCTGTTCCCATAAACTGGTGGTATAATGCAGGAGACTGCCCATTTCCTGCCCCAATGCCGGGGGGGCATTATCTGTGGCTCTGAACCTACCCTACACCACAACCCATGCCTTGCAGATGGCATCCACATGGTGTAATCATAACCTACACCATAACTGGTGCTCCAGGGTCTCACAGGGACCCTGTGTAGCAGGTCATTGTGCTTAACCTTTCCATCTTTCTTTCGACCCACCCTTGGCCTCCTTGCAGTGGAGGACTTACTGGGGTCAGGACTTGTTCCTCTCTGGCTGAGCCCCTTCACTTGGCCTCTGGCCCAACTACAACCTCAGGCATCTGAAGACATACCTTAGCCTACTCCCCATTCCTGGGGTTCCTGCTGCGCCCACTCTAGGGCCTCTATACCACGCCCCATCCTGGGGTCTTCTCATCCTCCTCACACTCAACTACATCCTTACATTCAACTACTCATGGGGCTGGCCCTTGCACTGCTCTTCAGGCTTACTCCTTGTTCAGCCCTACTCAGCCCCCTTCACACACAGTCCTTCAGCCCTACTCCCCTTCAGCCTTACTCTGTGTGGGGCCACACAACTCTGCCCTCTTTCTTAAGGCCTCACTACACCTCCCTCCCTCAGGGCTTCAGGGTCGACCACCCCCGTGGGCTCAGGTGGCACTCCGCTTGCCATGCCTGGTCCACCACTCTAACTCCCTGGGGTCTTGCACCCCCATCATGCACTCAGGTGGCTGCAGCCACACCTGGCCCCACCACTGCGCCTCCCAAAACCCACCCAAAGATGGGGGCTGGGATTAAGGCACCACTCCTCACCTTTCACCAGGGAGGTAACTGGCCTGGCATTTCCTGGGGGTCCCCATGCCACTAAGAGACTCAACAAGCCACCCTTCCCCAGAAGGGTGCAGTTTTGGGTCATGCCCAGGACCAAGAGGCCATCCCCATAAGCTCTTGCCCTTACCTCCTGGGTTGTTCCTGCTGCAGCTTAGCTAGGTGATGGTTCTGCCTGGCTGGCAGCAGCAAACTGCAGCCTTTATGTACCTGGTTCTCAAAATCGCTGCTGCCATCAGGCACCTGTTGGCTGCCTGACTCTGCCCTTAAGTTGCCAGGCACTCAACAGTGTACTGCCACATTCAGATTTAAAACAGTAACCCAAAATCCACATTTTTCCATGATTAAAATGAAACACCACTGGATAGATAGATAGATCTATAGATTGATAGATCAATAGATAGGGGTGTTTCATTTTAATCAAGGAAGAATGTGGTTACTTTTTTTAATCTGAAAATTGAGGATTTTTTTACCATGATTTCCTCGGGCATACCAGGCTTAGTCATACAGGATTTGACTGTGCAGAATAACATTAGTTGGGCCATGTTTTCAAAATGGTAGCCCTTTATCTGTATCTGCAATTTGCTCACCTTTTAAGGTAGATAACTGCACAGTTCAGTGCGACTTTGGGCTCCAAAAGCAGTTGTAACATTCTTCAGGATTAGGAGAGATGATAAATGCTGATCCTGAAGTTTGGCTTTCCATCTCCACTAAGGATCTCACTCAAACTTCCTCCTTTTAACCTAGGTTGGATTGATGTAGAGCCAAAATACTTCAGGAGTAACTTTCAGAGCAGACTGGTGGAATGAGCCACGCTTGTCCCCAGTGTGCATGCTGTGTTCAATGGACTGCAGCACGGAGTAGGAGAAGGTGTTACGGCTCTGATTCCTTCCCAATCCTTCTTTGCCCTGGGTGAGGCAGACAGAGGGTGGACCTTGGAGGACACGCAGGGGAATTAGTTTCCCCTGTGAGAAGGAACTGAGATTTAACAGAGCCCTGTGAAAGAAACACATAAAACAAGTAAGATTCTTACTAAACGCCTTGCTCATGAGCCAGTCCAAGTCTGTCTCAGTACGAACCACTGCGCTGAAATTAGGTGAAGTTCACATTTCATTTCATGTATGTGTAAAGAGGTACTCAGAAAAAGTTGGGGTAAGAAACCTGTTTACACTAGTGCACTCATTAGCTTCTACCCCAAGTAACATATCATACGTGCTAATACTCTGCATTCAAAATACTGGGTATATGATCCTGGCCCCAGTGACTTCCATAAAGCAAGGATGTCATCCTTAAGGTCAAACCTGGAGGCCTTTTGCAGTCAAAAACTCCTACTGAGCACAATGGGAATTTGAAAACAGAGTTAGTACGGACGTCAGCTCACAGCTCAGTCTTCTGCAAACCACCATTATATAGCTGATATGTAGGAACATCAGCGTTTGTTCTGAGCTTCAGTGTTTCACAAGGAAGGGCAGAGTGGGAGTTTGATAGAT